TACTTACTTACTTACTTACTTAGATAGCCTGTCTTCACTTGTCGTGCAGGCCACAGCACTGTTTCCATTCGTTTCTCTCTCGCTAGCGCCATCCACAATGTTGTATTAAAGTGCGGCGGCGACGTTCGCGAGGTCCAGGTCCACTACTCGTTACCTGTTGAGAATTCAGCTGGTTCATCCGTGCAACGAACACGTCAGCCCATCTGGTCGGTGGCCTTCCTCGAGCACGTTTTGCTTCGCGAGGAATCCACTGCTAAGTTCTTAGTGTTCAACTGTCGTCTCTCTCTCACTATATGACCAGCTCATCGATGTTTTGCCTTAGAGACGTATTCACGGATCAAAACGAGACAATTATCTCATATGTGAACTTCGAAGTCCGACGAGATGGTGGATGAGTCGGCTGTACTTCAGAAAGCGTCGTTCCAGCGCTCTGTGGGTTGTTCGGAGAGCCTTTGATGTGGCCACAGTGTCAGGTCACTTCTCTTCTGTGTAGCAGAGCGCAGGGAGAACAGTTCAATTGAACAGTGGGCTCGGAGCTCTGAGTTTGTCAGCTGGCCTGTGGCTTCCTTTAGGGAGCCGAAGGCGGCCCAAGCTGCTCTTTGCCTCCTGTTTAGTTCTTCTTTCAGAACGTTCTCCATGTTCATCGAACGCTTGAGATATACGTATGAAGACATCTCCTCGATTAGAGAGCCTTCTAATTCCATTTTCTGGTCCTCGCAAAAAGCCTCCTTCGTGAACTGAGTCTTCTTCCGGTTGATTCGCAGTCCTGTCCGTTTCCCTACTTCTTTCCTTCAACATCGTCTTCGCCTCAGTGATTTTTCTCGAGAAGAGAACAATGTCATCCGCAAAACGAAGATTCAGAGGACATCAACTCGTATATCTCTCTCATTCCAATCCAGTAATTTCGTCACCCACTGCAAGGCGGCGGTGAACAGCCCGACACAGTGTCGCCTTGTCGGACCCGCTTCGAGATTGGTATATTAAGGGAACGATGGAAAAGCTGTACCGTTGTACAGTAATTCTTGTAACTGTCGGCCAATGTCCTCACGTAAGATGAGTCCATCTCTTGGACGACTTGCATTAGGACGAGAGGTAGACGGTACTCTCGGCAAACCTCGATAATCCTCGAAGCTGTTTGGATGGGCCACGCAGCTGAATCCCTGGCAAAATCCAGCTTGTTTTACAGGTTGAGCTTCATCCAGTGTCCTGATGCGAGCGGGAATTATCCTCATAAAAAGCTTGTAGAAGACGCTCAGCAGACATATTGGACAAAGATCCTCCCTATCGCCCTTCTTATGAAGAAGGAATGTTCGGTCGGGGATCCTTTCCTTTAGAAGGTAGGACGTTAGATGTTCCGCAAGTATTTCGTGTAGGCGATGTCCATCAGGTAAGAGGTCGGCCGAAACATGGTCCGGTCTCGAAGCCGTGGCTGCCTTCATGGTCTGGATTGCGGCGCGTATTTCAGTAGGTAGAATCCGTGGTGGTATTTCTCCAGTGGGAAGAACGGGTTTGACAAGAATGTTGACGAGCGAGAGATTGGTGTAGAATCTCTTCGTGATTGACTCCATCTTATATCGAGAAGATGTGCGAGTTCCGTCTTCGTTTAGTATTGTTGTCAGCGGAACATGATAGTCAAGAAGTTCCCTGCGGTACTTCTTTAGAC